TTGAAGAAACCGATTTTTATTATTAATGGTTAGATTAAATATGTATTTTATATATTATTTTTCAACTTATTTCTCTTAAGGAAAATATAATAAAAAATAATTCTTTTCGACAGTATTTATATATTATGTTTTTTATCTCTTTCTATTTCTATGCTGTCTAAATCAAAAATGACAAACCTACAATATATGCTACCTTCGCACTTACGTAAAATCATTTTACGAAACAAAAGTTAACGGATATAATTTGAGTCACGCGAACGAGACTACACAAACTGCACCTGTGCGGCGTTTGCGAGTCACTGGAATTGTAAATGATGGTATCCATAGCTGTTTCGAAACTTTCGAGCACTGCACGACCTTGAGGAGCAATACGACGAAATATTTTCAACACAGTTTCTCGTTTAAACGAACACTTGCATGGAAACGATATTGACTGCGTTCAGCAGAGAAAGCAGCTTTGTAACTCTACGTTGTAATACAATTCTTCTTTAATATGATTGGTTCATACACAGTTATATATCCAATGAAACTTAGGGTAAGAGACCAATCGTATCAAAGGATTTTACAACAGTTGCAAAGCTGCTTTTTCTGCTGAACGCAGCCAGCATAAGCAACATATCGATTCAAATATTATAGTCTCGAGAGAGTAATTTCACATTAGAAAAGAAAAAGTATTGAAACTATCCAATAACTCTCTGAGAAAGTAACGAACGTATCATAAGAAATTGAAATTAAATTTCACAGCGAAATAATTTTAACACTGTAGAAATATCGATGTGTAGATTTAACACTGTCCGATGTCTATATATATAATATATATACTTTTCACCGTATTAGTGTTAATATTGGATTTGGGAAAAACGCCTTTAACATAGGTACATGTAAAAACCCTTCCTCAATCCACCATTTGTTATGGAAATTTTCGTTGCAATTGTATCATTCGATATATAAAAAAGTTTCAGCTTTAAGAATCTGTTTTTTCAATTGCAGCATGATGATTTTTAACGCAGCTATAAACAATCAAAATTAGAATGCTCCTTTACTTAACTCGCGAATAACTCAGAAGCAAAAAATTGTAGGAGTATTTTTAAAAAAACGATTTTGTAGGGAAATCAAGCTTTCACGATAGGTAGTCGAAAATTTTTGTTGGGCACGCGTGAAAGACTCACAAAGAGAAAAGAAAATTTTTCATCTTTTTCAGCTCGTAACTTTTTATATGTAAAAATTACCAAACTTACAGAAACTAAGCAGACTAGATACTGCAGATCTGAAAAAATGTTGAATCGTCAAAATAATTATATAAAAATCTCAAGCATAATGAACAAAAAGTTCGGACATTCTAGCAATCAATTTGAGTACCTATCCTATAT